TGTGGGGCTGACTATGCAGTGAATGCAGTGAATGGTATGCATTGAGTGGCGGAGTGTGTGTTGTATTGACTAGTATTGAGTGAATTGTGACAAAAATGGTGTAATCATTGAGAAAATCAATTCATTTTTGTTATGATATTTAGCATCTAATTGTTCATCAAATGAAACCATTCAATAGCCGTTCAAAGTGTGCTTTTTATACCAGAGATTAGCTATATTTGTACTTTTTATACGTCAACCACCATGTTCACCACCAATATATTTAATTTTATAATCAATATATTTAACACCAAATAATGTGAACACAAAAAGTCTGTCAAAAAACGTCTATTAAAACACTATCGACTCAAACAAAAGCCAAACATTTCTATATTTTTCGTAACAATTTTTATTTTGTAATCAATTTTTTTATTTAACAAAAGTATTATATTTACAATTTGTGGCCAATTTTTATATACTTATAATTATCACTCATTTATTCATTTCATTGGTTTTCGCCGTTTATATCAATTCATCAGTAAATGTAAGATATGTTTGTTTTTTTAATGTATACTGTATTAGTAATTATAATATACTGGGTATTAATTGGGTTTTAAATTAATTTGAATGTTAAGTGCACCCAAAGGTTGACAAACTGTTGTGTGTTTGACTTGAAAACAAATATTTGCACAAAAGTTATGACAAATATTTTTATTGTATTTTTATGCATTAAATTAGGCATTAAATAATGGACCAAATAATAGGCTTAAATAATGGGTATTTGACATGATAAAAGTGTCCATGATACTCGTTAGCCATAACATTTGTGATGTCTATTTTAATCACTCATTTATAGTGAATTGAGTCACAATTATAAGAAATATTTACATTTGACTTATAATTGGTTAATTAGTTGGTTTGAAATGCTTTATCGCATAATAGATAGTCATTTGGTTAATAAAGTCATTCATTGATTGAATGTATGAATGGTTTGATTGATATATAAATTAAATAATTATCACACGATTTGATGCATGCATTCAAATGAGACAATCGTATCATTCATATGAATGCAAACCTGAATAGTATTTGCCATAAAAATATTTGTTTTTGTTTTTATTAATTAATCAAATGTATATTTAATTTCTCATAACATATGATATAATTTGTGGCAATTATTGGCACTAAAATGCATTTAAATGACTGAAAATTTAAACCAGAAATTAGGAAAATTCACAAACAATTAAAGTATTTATATCTGAATTTTGTTTTAATACGGATAGTAAATGACTTTAAAAAGTGGCATAAAAATAGTATTTTGTAATTTTGTTTCAATTAACTATTAGATAGGTTTACAGTGTACGGTAATTTAGTGTTATCATAGGGGGAATGGTATATAATATTTTTAATGTGTTTGTGATTTAAAACAATTAAATGTATTTATAATATAGTGTTTGATATGATGTGATGAGTGTTGACCCGATTCGCACTCATAGACTCCATGCTATACTAAATATACTCTATTAATGGGAAATGCATTCAAGTTATCATAAGTTTTAAATTAACTCATAATAAGATTTGTGTTGTCTTTCCACTCGTTTTAATTGACAACACATCCAGCGGTTGAGTCCTATTGGCTATAGTCTTAAGTCTGTGAATACATCTCTGGTTTTGTAGTTTGTTTTGTGAATGCATTACTGGTGCCAACAAAACACAATAAATACAGTAATAATAGGTTTTTGTGAAAACTAGAAATACATATTTCCTATGATATAACTCATGCATAAAATATGTGACACAAACTCGCATTTTTTCACTTAACAAAACATATATTTTATATTTTTATCTCAAATCTCCATAAATAATAAGTATTTGTGTCTTATTTTAGTTCATCTCTTCATACACTCATTAAAGAGAGATTTTATTTAATATACTATTTTCAGATCCAAAATCATTTGAATATCATTTGAATTGTTATTTAGGAGTAATTGTGAGAAAACTTTGCGAGGAAATGATGATATGATTGCTTAATGTTTACATTGAATATAATATTCAAACCATTAATTGATTTACAAGTTATGAAAAGTGAGTCAATGATTCCAACCACAGATATAGCACTCAATTATTGCCATTAAATGATTTCTGTATTAATGAGACTTCCTCTCAATGTTTAGTCTTAATTAACAAACAAATCGATTGTATCGTTAATATACAGTACATGTAATGAATATAATTGTTTCCATTGCAGATAAGTGTTGCTACCAGTGCCCAACGCCCCCACCCATTATCACAGTTATGGGCAACTGTATAAATGGTGGTAAAACCAGTGATGAGTTAACCATTAATGGTAAACCCGTTGGTTTGAGTGCCAATTATCGGCCAAAAGATGAGAAACCAGGAGACAATCACTCGAACTCCCGGACCCCACTGTCCTCCGCGGCCGCAAACGTGCAAAACGCCAAACACAACAACAGCTCCACAGCTAACGAGTCGTTTGGCAACCGAAACGCCTCCTCCTCTTCCCATTCAAAAGTAGTCATCGCTTTGTATACCTATAACGCCAAAGACGACGGCGACCTATCCTTCCGTAAAGGCGAACGACTCCATGTGCTCGACGACACGGACCCCGACTGGTGGCTCGCAAAGCACCTCCAGAACAACCAAAAGGGATACATTCCCATGAATTATGTGGTTTCAGAAGCCATCGAAATGGAGGAGTAATATAAACCATCACTTTATTGATCGAGTTTTTCTCATTTACTTATTGTATTGTTTATCAAAAGATGGTTTTTCGGCAAAATTTCGAGACGAGAGGCCGAGAAATTACTTCTGTTGGGCGACAACCCGAGGGGTACTTTCCTTATTAGAAATAGCGAACAGACGGCTGGTAATTGCAACACATGTTTAGTGATTTGAGAGCCATTTTTACTATATATTTGTACGGTATGTCCACTGTTTAGGTGCGTACTCGCTATCGATTAGGGATTGGGATCAGAATAAAGGAGATCACGTTAAGCACTATAAAATCAAAGCCATGGATAACGGAGGCTATTATGTGACCACAAGGAAGACATTCAGTACTTTACAAGAATTAGTCGCTTATTATACTGAAGGATCTAATGGTCTCTGCCATGAGCTGACCAAAGCGTGCCCTAAATCTAAGCCCAGTTATTGGCCGCTAAAGAAGGATGAGATCGATAGGAAGGACTTGGAGTTTATCAAAGAGCTGGGAGGCGGCAACTTTGGCAAAGTATACTACGGCCGCTTCAAAGGTATATTTGGGTTAATTGTAGTCATGAGAGATACCTAACGATTGTTTGTATGAATTGTAGGCCAAAAGGAAGTCGCCATAAAGACCCTAAAGCCGGGAACGATGTCCGCGCAGGCATTCCTCGAAGAGGCAGCCATTATGCGAAAGTGCAGACACGAGAAGTTGGTTCCGTTATATGGCGTCTGTTCACAGGAGGAACCGCTTCTCATAATCACGGAATACATGTGCAACGGAAGCCTTTTAGAGTTCTTACGCAACAGAGAAGGAAAGGCTCTCAAAATCCACGACCTCTTAGATATGGCCGCACAGGTCGCCAGCGGAATGGCTTATCTCGAGAGTCAGAAACTGATTCACAGAGATTTGGCCGCAAGGAATATATTGGTCGATAAAAACAAAGTGGTAAAAGTGGCCGACTTTGGACTGGCCCGGGTTATTGAGGACTCGGAGTACACGGCCAGACAGGGCGCCAAATTCCCCATCAAATGGACGGCGCCCGAGGCGGCACTCTTTGGAAGGTTTTCCATTAAGTCCGACGTTTGGAGTTATGGTATATTACTGTACGAACTGATAACGCACGGACAGGTCCCCTACCCGGGTATGTTTACTATCATCTTATTTATTGTATTATACATCTAATGATGAAAATAACTGACCGTAACATTGAATTTGATGTGAAAGGTATGCACAACCGGGAAGTGATAGAACAGGTAGAGCGCGGATACCGTATGCCAAAGCCGACCACTTGTGAGTGTCCCGACTCTGTCTACAATATAATGATCCACTGCTGGGAAGCGGAGCCAGAAAAGAGGCCAACGTTTGAGTATTTGTACGGATTCTTCGATGACTTTCTGGTGGCCGCCGAACCCAACTATAGGGACGCCGAAGAGTTTTAACGATTAGATTCACAAAGCATTCCTTATATTGAATCGAAAATTAGTTTAATATTAAGAATAACAATGATTTCGTGGACACGAATGGAAAGCAACGAAATATTTTTGTTTTATTGTGTATATAATATGTGACAACTATTTCGAGCGACATATTGACCGCACCGTTGTGTTTGTGAGTTTTCCGCCAAACGTCTTATTATGAACTCACCGTAAAAGTGCAGCAAATCATTGGCCAACGAATTGCCGAACAAATGAATTGAAATTACTTTTGGATTTATAGCCCATATATTCCAATAAACAATAATTGAATAATTGAATTATTGACTTGAGAGAAAACAGTGATAAAATAATTTACTGCCTTTTAAATAGAATTTATAACTTTAGTATTTATGACACGAATGCTGTTTTTTAAATGTCATTATTCACAATCATTTTTTTCTCACAATTTAATAATTTTATATTCGGAGAGATTTTTTCGAGAAATTAATTTAAACGAAATGCTATTATAATTAAGTACTTAAACACCACACGAGAAACTACTGTTTTTATGCATAGTTTTTGCTATTTATTCGATTCCTTGTGATCATTAATGTTTTGAAAATATATTTAAGTATTTTTATCCATTAAATAAAAAAAGATTGTATTATTTCATACTTTTATAAATTAAATTAAATTCATTTTGTTTAATGAAATAAAATTTGTATAAAAAGTTTGATTCTAATCATACGGTGTATTCATTTTATTTTCTATTGATTCAAATCGATTGATTCAATGATTGGATAAAATGTCTTTAAAAGTGATTCAACTAATTGACGGGAATTTCCGTATATAGAGTGAAGTGATGTTGAGGTATACCTACAATGAAATCCAGTGAACGATTCAATCGTTTCTACGCAAACCATTTCAAGGATACACAAGAGCTCAGACTCAGGGATTCAGTGCTCAGCCGTCAGAGCCTATGGAAAGTTGTTTTTAAGCCGGTTTTGAGTCCGTTTACAACCAGATATCATATTGTGTTTATATTTTAGACTTTCAGCTAAAACTTTGAGTTCAGTTACACTGATAACAGTCTAAACGCCATTTGATTAGCCACTCAGCAAATAATGTTTTGAAATTGTCAGATACTTTGTTCATAACTCCTATTGCATCGCATCTGCGGTTAACTACTTGTGCATCAAAACCTTAACATTTGTCTTAACTGTTGGATACAATAAAAATAAAATGAATAAAAACTTGTTGTTTGGGAATATTTTATTTTTGAGATTCTTTCACAAAAGAGCAAACTTTCAAACAGTGATATCGAGAGTTAGGAATTGGAAAAACTTCGCCAATTATGGCACCAGTATATCGACTATTGTATCAAAGTATCAAACAAGTGGTTTGACATCACGGCTGACGACAATCGCGTTTGCCTTTCCTCTGGTGAAGGCGTGGGGAAGTCGTAACCCAAAGGACGAAGAGAGGAAAGTTCTGGAGGAAACGGACCGTCTGTTCGATGACAACCAATTCGACAAACTCTACGAAATACTGAGATCCCAGCCCTCGTGGTATGACAACTGCGATGTCTTGTGGCGAGTGGCCAGATGTGAGTTTCATCTGAGCAAACGACAGCCAGAAAAGAGCAAAGAGGCCGTCGCTCTGCTGGAGGAGGCGCACAGACATGTCATCAAAGCCCTGGAACTGTGCCACGAGTGCGGGCCCGCACACAAGGTATGGCCACAACACTCAATGCATGTTCTTATTCCTCGTGAACTAATTAATGAAATGCTTGTGAAGTGGGCGGCGATACTACTGAACGCTGTGTCCACTCTGAAGGGCAGCCGTGAGAAAGTGGAACAAGTGTTGAATGTGAGGATACATATGGAGAAAGCCATCAAATACTCGCCCAACGATCCGACCGCTCACTACCTGTTAGGCGAATGGCATTACTCTGTGAATCAGGTCTCGTGGGTCGAGAGGAAACTGGCCGGTAGTACACTCCCGGGTCAACTAAGTCACAGTTACTATAGTATACCATTGTATCACTTCTTTCTTAGGTGTCATATACGGGTCACTACCGGAAGCCAACCTTGAGATCGGTCTACAGATTCTCGAGAGGGCCGAAGAGATTGAGAAAGACTTTTACTCCAAGAATAAAGTTCTGATCGCAAAGACATTGGTTGCTCTGAACCGAGACATCGAAAGGGCTAAGTCTCTGCTGATTACAGTGATTGGCAGATATAAGACATCAACCAAATGGGATGACATCGAGGTATAGC